GCCCAGCGGCAGGAGGGAGAGGAAGGGGCAGGGACCGTGTCCAGGGGTGGGGTGCGTGCGGAGGGGGAGAGGGAGAGAGAGAGAGAGAGGCACTGCGGACAATGCCCGGCAGTTCCGGGGCGCCTCCGCAGCGTGCCTTCCCTTCTTGGAGAGGCGGCCCATGCGGCAGGCAGGCGGAGTGGGCGCCGCAATGACACCAGCCCCGGCAGTGGCGGACTGAGCCAGCCCAAGAGCCCGGAAAGGGGGGACAAGATGAACACCACCTCCCTGGACGGTGGCGGCGGCGGCGGCCCCACCAACCACAGTGGTGACGGCGGCGGTGCCCGGCCCTTCTGCCTCCTCTCGACCGGCGGCGAGGGCGGCTACCCGGACTCCCTGGACGTCTGCCTGCTGGAGGTGGTCATCATTGTCTTCCTGACGGCCCTCATCATCTCAGGCAACCTGGTGGTGATCGTGGTCTTCCACTGCGCCCCCCTCCTCAACCACCACACCACCAGCTACTTCATCCAGACCATGGCCTACGCGGACCTGCTGGTGGGCGTGAGCTGCCTGGTGCCCTCCCTCTCGCTGCTGGGCTACCGCCTGGCCTTCCTCCCCGAAGCCCTGCTTTGCAAGGGCTTCGGCTACGCCGTCTCGGTCCTCAAGAGCGTCTCCATGGCCTCCCTGGCATGCATCAGCGTGGACCGCTACCTGGCCATCACCAAGCCCCTCTCCTACAACACCCTCGTCACCCCTTGCCGCCTCCACCTCTGCATCGTCCTCATCTGGCTGTACTCGGGGGCCATCTTCCTGCCGGCCTTCTTCGACTGGGGCAAGCCGGGCTACCACGGGGACGTGTTCCGATGGTGCGCCGACGCCTGGGAGACCCGGGCGGCCTTCACCCTCTTCATCGTGGTCCTGCTCTACGCCCCGGCCGCCTTGGTGGTCTGCTTCACGTACTTTAGCATCTTCCGCATCTGCCAGCAGCACACCAAGGAGATCAACGAGAGGCGGGTGCGTTTCAGCTCCCAGGAAGGGGGCGAAGCGGGTGAGGCCCAGCCCTGCCCGGACAAGCGCTACGCCATGGTCCTCTTGCGCATCACCAGCGTCTTTTACCTCCTCTGGTTGCCCTACATTGTCTACTTCCTTCTAGAGAGCTCCTCTGTCTACCGCAACCGGGTGGCCTCCTTCCTGACCACCTGGCTGGCCATCAGCAACAGCTTCTGCAACAGCGTCATCTACAGCCTCTCCAACAGCGTCTTTCAGAAGGGACTCAAGCGCCTCTCGGGGGCCTTTTGCGCCTCCTGCGCCCGGCACCGGGTGCCGAAGGACTCCACGGCCTCCCGGAGCAAAAGGCCTTCCAACGGCGGTGGCGGGGGTCACGCCTAGGAGACAGCTTGCTCTCAGACTGAAAAAAATAAAATAAAAATAAATTAATGTCCAGGTTTGCAAAAAAAAAGAGAGAGAGAGAGAGAGAGAGAGCGAAAGGAACTCATAGTACATGTGCATGAGCCCAGGAACCTATGAGAAATGCTGCTGATGGACAAGAATGAAGGATGATCCACACGCATGTGTTGTCTGTTTTGATGTTTCACTTGGGGGGGGAATGT